CTCTCCCCCTGCCTCTAGCCCCCGGCCCCGCTCTGGGCTGGCTGAGGGGTGTTGCCCGGCCTGGGCGCAGGGGCGCCCTCATGCTGGTCTCTCCCGATGAATGTAGCTTTCTGCAGCGGGTTACACTGTGCGCCTCCTGCCCTGTGCCCCTGGCTGCACCTTCCCCGAGCGCCCCACCCCCCCGGGGAGCCACGTCGCTCCGTTCGGCCGCTCTCAGCAGGCACTAGGCATGGCTGCTCTGCGCAGGGGGCAGCCAGGCAGGAAATGGCTGCGGCATGTCCCACTGTGGGGCCCAGGCCTGTTCTGCTTGCATGGAGCCCCCCCAGTGCCCGACGGGGGACTCGTAGCTGGAGTCCCCCTGTGTTGGCAGCAGCCCCCTGGGAGATGTTGGCGTTGGGCTGGGCTCCCTGCCTCGGCTGGCTGCGGCTCATGGGCCCTAGTGAGCGCTGCTCTGCCCAGGCCAGGCAGGAGCAAAGTGGGGCTGCTTCTCCCCTCTCTCCTGGAGCAGCAGCGTGTCCATCTGCCTTCCCTCCTCGCTGTGCCTCAAGGCAGTTTGGGGGGCTAGAGCGAGTGGTGCAAGCTGCCCCATGGAGCCAGCAGGAGTGGGGACCTATAGCAGCCCCCCAGGAGCCTGGACGCTGGAGTATATGGAGCTCGGAGCTCAGAGCACAGCCAGGGCCGCCCAGGCGGCAGGGGATGGGGACGGCGGAAGATACCTGCCTTCCTGAGGAGTTCCACTTAGCTGATTTCCAGCTCTAGAAGGGAGCTGCCCCCTACCCCCAGGAGTGCTCGGAGCCAGCTGATCTCCCCCCCCAGGCTCTAGGGTGCCTGGTGCTCCCCTTGATTGTCCTGCTCACACAGCAACACCTGGCGGGAGCCCTGTCCGGCTCTCCTCTCAGCCCTTCCGCCTCCGGTGCGGGCTTCCTGAGGAGTTCCACTTAGCTGATTTCCAGCTCTAGAAGGGAGCTGCCCCCTACCCCCAGGAGTGCTCGGAGCCAGCTGATCTCCCCCCCCAGGCTCTAGGGTGCCTGGTGCTCCCCTTGATTGTCCTGCTCACACAGCAACACCTGGCGGGAGCCCTGTCCGGCTCTCCTCTCAGCCCTTCCGCCTCCGGTGCGGGCTCGCCCCTCGCAGGCATGGCATCTCCTGGCCTGGGCCTGGGCCGTGCGCCA